CCCCCCAGTTCTCCACTCCCTGTGCTTCCTGCAGGGGGGTCCCAGGCACTGGGAATTCCCTTGACTGCAATTCCTGGGCACTGGGACCCCCCGTGGAACCAACCTTATCCTGTACCAGCACCCCCCTGCACCCCCTTTCCAGCCATCCCACCTCTCCCAGATCCCAGATCCCCTTTTTCCTTGACCCTGATACCCCCTGGACCCCCATTCCTGCCTTTCCCAGAGCCCCCTTTGCTCAACACTGGCAACCCCTGGACCCCCCTTTCCTGGGCACAGGGACCCCTGGATGCCCCATCCCACCTCTCCCAGCCGCTGCACCCCCCTTTCCTTGGGATCCCCAAACCCCCTTCCTGGCTCTCCCAGCTCTCCCGGTTCCCGCTTCCCATGATCCCTCTGGACCCCCAAATCTCCGTGTCCCCCAGTTCTCCACTCCCTGCGTTACCTGTCCGTGGGAGTGATGGAACCCAGCCCAGGGATCCCTCAATACATGGCCTTGGGATACGTGGATGAGATCCCCATCATGCGCTATGACAGCAAGTGGGGACGGACAGAGCCGCAGACGCCGTGGATGGCGGCTGGAGCCGAGCCGGGATATTGGGATTTTGTGACCCAAATCTTCAAGAGGACACAGCTCATTGATGCTGACAACCTGGAGACGGTGGGGAGGGGCCGGTACAACTGGAGTGGGGGTGAGTGGGGGGAGCCAGGGAATGGTGGGATGTGTGGGACCGGGATGGGATCTGTGTGGCTGGGATGTGGATCCAAGGTGCTCCAAGGGGCTGGGATGGGATCTGTGGGTCTCAATCGGACTCTGGGGCTCCATAGGGCTGGAATGGGGCTCTGTCAGGCTGGACACAATTCCAGGCAGATCTCCATGGATCTGATCCCGCCCCTCAGGTCTCCACACAAGGCAGCAGCTTTATGGCTGTGACCTCCTGTCCGACGGGAGCATCCGTGGATCCTATCGGTCCGGCTACGACGGGCGGGATTTCATCTCCTTCGAACTGGGATCTGGGAACTTCGTGGCGGCCGATGGAGCTGCCCAGATCACCAAGAGGAAATGGGAACACGATGGGACTGTGGCAGAGAGTCTGACAGATTACCTCGAGAACATCTGTCCAGAAGCGCTCCGGAGATTTGTTGGATACGGGCAGGAGGCGCTGGAGCACAAAGGTGAGGGAGACAGAATTCCCATGGGAATGTGGGATTTGGGAATGTGGGATTTGGGAGGGTGGAACTGAGGAACTCAAGAATTCCCATGGGAATTCTGTGGGTGAATCTGAGTCATCCAACTCCCATGGGAATTCCATGCATGGATCCCAATGTTGTCCCATCCCAGTGGGACTTCTGTGGATGGATCTCACTCCAATCCCATTCCCATGGGAATTCCATGATGGATCTCACCATTATCCCATCCCAGAGCCCCCCACTGTCCACGTGTCCGGGAAAGAGGAACACGGGATCCTGACGTTGTCCT